TAAAGTCGCGATAAAGATCTTTGCGCACTAGCACTAACACTCCAGCCGTCCGGGCATTGGTCGTGGGGGATTGTGCTATTATATCCCACCCGGTATCCCTATTTTCTGAGCCGCGAATTGCAATTCTCTAGTGAGAATTGTCAGGTCTCCATCTCCCAAATGATGTGTCTCCTGTAAACAAATGACATCTAACCTATGTTGGGCCCATACTCTAGCCGCAGCATGGATACGAGTAAATGCCGAATGCGTGAATAAACCTGCTACATTATGGGACGCTATGCGAAGGGGTCTATTATTAGGCCTCCTGCATCTTGTCCGTCGCCCCATTTACCTAGGGGGTATTTCCGTATCCCCATTACCGCGGACTACTACTATATTTCTCACTTCCTCCTCCTCGCCGACTTGCATGAGGTCACCCGGGTCGTCATGTGGAAGAACATGAAACCTGGGCGGGCTTATTACCGAGTCCCTCCTCTTGTGTTGGGGACTGACCCCTGGAGATGACGTGCGTGACGTTGGTTTGTCCGCATGCTTGCCCAGCACAGGTTGGTCGGTGGGCAGAATTGGGTTTCCACGATGCGTCCGTCTGTTTTGTAATTGCCATTGCTGTTCATCTGGCCTATTTCCGGCCACATCTTGAATCGGTTGGCCAAGTAAGGGGTGCGTGATGGAGTGAGTTTTGGGGATAGAAGCTGATGTCGGTAGTCCCGGTTGATTGGTGGTTGTGTATGAGAGCTGCTGCTGTTGTCGCTGCTGCTGCTGTGGCGGCTGTTGCTGTATCTGTTGCTGTTGCTGTTGTGGTTGCTGGTTCTGTCGTTGTTGTTGCTGTTGCTGTTGTTGCTGCTGTGTTTGCTGTTGCTGTGTCTGTTGTTGCTGTTGCTGTTGTTGCTGTTGCTGCTGTTGTTGTACTTGTCTTCGTACAACGGCGGCGGCTGCTCTGCCTGCCATTTCTGTTGCCTCCTCGTTGGATACTCGATTTTGCATCTGCTGTTGTCGAGTTATTTGCTGGATTGTCTGGGGCTGTCCAGTAGCCATGGGTTGACGTGCATTACTTGATCCTCCTACCTCACCCACCGCTGGCGTCGCTAGATTTGGCCGTGCTCGCGCCGCGATGACTGCCGCCGCCGAAATGGGCGGCGGGAGATTCGGTATCAAGCGGTTTCGTTGTTGAATCTTGGGGGGGCGGGCAAAGCCGGAGTCTGTGTGTCGTAATACGTGTGTTGCGCTCTCCACGCTCCCCTATGAATCCGCCGGCCATCCTCCTCAATGGAGAAAATATTCATCCTGGCGGGTAATGCGGGCTGATCCCATCGCACCCACACCACGGCTGTAGTGAGACTAGCTTCGACTATCCCCCATTTCTTTCCATATTCATCTACGTCAAAGCCGTAGGCTTCCGCAATAAGCCAGAATAGGCATTTCTGAGGAAATGCTGGAGGTAATCCTGTCAGTCTGAAGTATTGGGCAGATGCCCCCACTATGTCTACTACAAGATCCTAGATGGAGATCTGCTAGATTGATTCGTCCGCAATGGTCCGCTAAGTTTTTTACGGGCGTAATCCACTCCTCCGGTACGTAGACGTTGATCTGTCCAACGACTCCTTCGTCGTTGCGAGCTTCCCAAGCGACCGGTTCTCCGACGAAAACATAAGGAGCTTTTAGCTCCTGTTGTACTGTCTGCACTATTCGGTGTCCAATCGGTCCTGCCATAATGTCTATTACCTGCTTTCTGTTCTCTAGGTAGTTTCCTTGAAAGATTGCTCTCATTGCCAGCGATCGAAGTTTGCCAAAAGGTTGCTCCATCTTCGTAATTTCCCTAAGAAGGGAGATTGATATGGTTGCTTCAGATCGTTCCGCCGTCACACCGGCGGCCTGATCCGTTGAACTGTTGCGAGCCATTTTGATGTCTTTGTTCTCAGAAAAGTTATTGAAGGTAAATAGACCGACCGGGTTAACCCGGTTCGGTCATTGTTATGATGTTGAGTCTGCAAGTTGTGATTGTGGCTATATGGTTGCTATATTGCTATATTGCTATATTGCTATATGAGTGTAGTAGGGTGATGCAGTGTGTGCTGCCGTGGGTATCGGAGCTGAACGTGCAGCACTTTGGCACCGAAGGTATGGCCACTTGGGATACAGCAACCTTGAGACGTTGCTGCGTCATAATATGGTAGCTGGATTTGATGTTGACCGACACAGCATACAATCAGCCAGCGCGTGTGTGTGTGAGACTTGCGTCCTTGCAAGGCATACACGTGGTCCTTTTCCGTTATCTGGGCATAAGGCAGCGCAGCCTCTCACGCTCATTCACATGGATGTAATTACCTCTCGCGCTCATTCACATGGATGTGTGTGGGCCTATGCCTGAACCTTCACCAAATGGTTCGCGTTACGTGACCACCCTTCTTGATGGCCACACCGGTCTGTCAGCTGTTGCGTTTACGGCGTCCAAGGAAGAGATATATCAGAAGGTTAGGTGGTGGTGATGATAGCGGACCTGGAACGGGCATCTGGTCGGCAGGTAAAGGAGGTGCGCACGGATCGTGGCGGGGAGTTTGTGAATACTCGCACGAAAAACTACTTCGCGTCAAGGGGTATTTTTGCACGGAACTACGGCGGGCTACACTCCTGAGCAGAACGGTGCAGCAGAACGCCTGAACCGCACTCTTCTAGACAAGGCCAGGTCAATGCTCATAGAGTCTGGACTCCCAAAATCACTGTGGGCGGAAGCGTTGGCGACTGCAAACTACCTCAGGAACGTGTCGCCAACTGCTGGGTCAACCGTCACTCCACATCAAGCCTTCTTTGGTGTTCGTCCGAATGTCAGCCATCTGCGGGTCTTTTGATGCGCTGCATATGTTCATGTGCCCAACGTCAAGCGAGACAAACTCGATCCGGTAAGCAGGCGAGGAATCCTAGTCCGATACGGGAATGGAGGACAGTACCGCGTACTGTACGAGGACGGCGTCATCGCTGTGGTCTCCAGTGTCCGCTTTGACGAGTCTAATGTCGGCCGGCGGCGTAGTGCTAGGGACTCCGATTATGGGTCCGATGCCGATGAGGAGGAGGACGTTCACACTAACTTGCCTGGTGAGGGGTCGCTGCCTAGGGCTGGCGAAGGAACATCAGGCAATACCGTCGGCGACGGATCGCCACATTCGCCACGGCGAGGGGGCGCCGGCTGGGGCTGGACCTTCCAGCAGTGCGAACGTGCAAGGTAACAATCAGCCTGATGTGGAAATGGCAGGGACCCGGTACCCAGTTAGAGAGCGTAAACGCCCTGGCGAGTGGTGGCGAAACGAGCCTGGTCGCACTGTTACTGGTCGTGTTAATTCTGCTTTTTCTGCTGTCATTCCTGAACCGAATTCGTTTGCGGAAGCAATTGCAAGTCCACATGCAGATGATTGGCGGCGTGCAATGGAC